CTGCTTCATGCCTGCTATCCTCTGCTGTCAGGTAAGCTCTGCCTACGAACTAAGGCCAGCGTTTACAAGCAATTGATACGCCCGGTGCTGACCTATAGATTTCCTGCGTGGTCCGTAGCCAGCACCTCGCAAAAGCAGAAACTGGCAGTATTCCAGAATAAAATACTGAGGATAGTGATAAAGGCCCCATACTTCGTCAGAAACCCTACCCTGCGACGAGACCTGGATACAGAGGACCTGCTGGACCACATCCGGAACCTAACGTCAGGGTTCCTGGATAGGATCCGGCGAAGCAAGAATCCCACCGTCAGGGTTTCTTGCACCAAGAAGGTCAACTGTGACCGCAGACCTCTCCCTGCGGACACAGTCTAAGAAGCAGACGTGGACCACCAGCGACAATCAGTTCCTGCACCACAACGAGGACCATGGGCTAACTTTAAGTTAACTTAGGAAGCATTAGAGGATGTGTTAGGTTAGGCTTAGGCTTAGGTTAGAACAAGACATACGATGTCACTTAAAATCACAAGATGTTAGCATTAAGAATCCGTAGAATAAGTAGCAGTAAGAAGTATTGTAAAACTTGTCTGAAATAAATATGTTCAAAAGCAAGCAAATTAAAGCCCTAACAAGGACTGAAATAGCAGAAAAATATGACCAACTGCTTGAGAAGCGGCTAGAAGTAGCAGATTTGCAGCAAGCCATACGCCAAAACAGGAAACCTTCTTTTCCAAACTCCAAAACATCTTTCGATCACGTTTCTTGTTCGGATATGGGACTCATTGTATAGCCTTTCGGCTCTTGTTGCAGGATTAACTAAAGGAGTTAACAAATAGGATCTAAGACCATAGCCACTGTCACCTGTAATAAAAAAAATAAATAAAATATTTTTGCAATTTGGATACGCACGAGTTTTTTTAGTCATAAAGATAATTTGATAATGTTAATTGCTAAGGTTAACTCACTGTATTTGTAATTATTTTAAATAAGAAATTGTCTAAGGTAAGAAAATGTTCTCCCTTAAAATATGCATAAGCCGTACTAAAAATGAGTGACGAGTTTCTGAACTCCCAAGATTAGAGGCAAGAGAGTATAATTTCTGTAGTATTTTAGTATTACACTTTCATAATAAACTAAATATTCTGGATACGTTGAGAATACCTAATAAAATACAATTTGGAAACTCTTGGTTTTCAAATCTTCGCCTCAATCTCGAATTGTTAAAAATGGTGCTATTATTTGCTGATCCTAGCCATCTAGCTACAACATCTAATAACGGGAGATCTGAACTGCAGGCTGACAAGTTAAAAGGGTCAAAAATGTTACTAATTTGACTAACCGGGAGACTGTATGCGTACGTGCGTTCCATCAACACAAGCTATGACACGAGGAAAAGAGGCAATATGACAAAAATCAGCCTGTAAACATATCAAATTTTCTTGGTTAGGCATCTTCACAAATCTAGGGTAAATACTTGCAATCGCACGGCTTACTTTCGCAACAATTCGCGAAGATGTGGATTTATCCATTCCAATAAAGTCTGCTACTGTATCTAAATGACCTGCACTAGCATAATATCTAAGTGCAGTTAATAGTTGGTTTATAGGTGCTACACTATTATTTCTAAAATAAAATTAACAAACTATTTGATAGTAAAACTAGTTGGGTATTTCATTTTTCTTTTTATACTACTTACAAATCGGTATTATATTCCAAATGTGCCTGTTAATTGCAGTAAATGCAATACTGTCTTTTTCGTTAAACAAAAGCGTCTAAAAAAAGTTAAATCATCGAATTCTTCAAAATAATTTCTTCTTTGATAGATCTTTCGAGGAAATCCATAGTCTATTATATCAAGAATATCTTGATCGTCTCCTGAAAAAACTTTCCCGAAAATTGCACGCACATAAGCACAAAAATGACAAAATGACGTTTATGGGATGCTCTATTATACGTGTGTACAAGTGTTTATCTGAAATAGAATAATCGATTGCAGTTGGGTTTAGTTCACAAACATTTTATAAAAGCTAACACTTTAAAATAATAGTCTAGTTTGATGCTTAAGTGGACAGTTTGGTACTTGCACCATTCGATTTATCTATGAAAACACTTCTTGATGTTAATGGATATGCAGAATGACTTATTAATTGTATAGCCCTCTACTATTAGGACAATATTATATTATTGATAGCACAAATGAATCTCCAGTTGCGTACAAAACAACGCACTGATTGTTGGGAAATGAGATCTATTTGTCTCTCCTGCCAACCACATAACTTAGTCTATGGGGCGATGTGACAATTAGTTTTTTATTTTAAGTTGTATTTGTTTCAAGTAACTAATACGAACTAACGAAATAACGTTCTGAGCAATATACATTTTAATTTTGCCGACAATCGGGTTTTAATTCGTCGGTTGGGTGCAATCATATACTTAAGTCGGTGTTGGGAGTGCCATCTCAGATAGGGACGCGCACGAAGAAGAAAATAATACAAAAATACAGTCCACTTAAACATTAACCAAAATTTGGTCCTTGGGAGCCGGATATCCAGCAATATGGTGTTTGGATCTTTGGAATAATGGATATGGGTTGCTGAAAGAACGTGTTGGAAAGCATCGACAGATCGACGAAGCCTAAGGTCAGATCTTTCAATACATTGGGGCTAGAAAGCAGATACATTTGTTGTTGAAATTCATTGACACAAATTGCCAAGGAAACATGACATTAATTGGGGTCATTAATCATCTTTATTCAGTGAACTATGAAAAGTAGATTAAAGTATTTTAGTTGTATTCTGGTGAGAAAATTATGTTAAGGTCTTATGATGGAGACTCTAAAGAAACAGAGATCGATTGTTAAAAGCTCTATAACGAGGGTAAACACTTTTGTTACGAATAATGAAGTTGTACCAAACATTGATGTTAGCGAATATGAAACTAGGGAAGTATTTTTAGAGAAAGCTTACGAAAATTATTGCAAAATTCAATATAATATAGAATTAATGGATGAGAGCGAAGAGACAGATAGAGATGAGGTGGAGACTAAATACTTGTCTTTATTATCTAAAATCAAAGCGAAAATTAGGCAAATGAGCCAATCTCTAATTGAATTTCCAAAACATGTTTCTACTCATTTGGAGTCAGCTGCGGTAATGCCGCTGAGTAATGCGAGGTTGCCAAGTGTAAATATTCCCACGTTTTCCGGTAAAGTCGAAGATTGGCTAGCTTTTATTGACTTGTTTTCAGCAATAATTGATACTCATTCATTCTTGAATGATGTGCAAAAGTTTCTATATTTAAAAGCTGCTTTGTCGGTGGTCGGTCGGTCAAATTTAAATAATAACTTACCGTTAACCAATGAAAATTATAAAGAAGCGCTGGAATTATTGAGAAATAGGTTTGAAAATAAATTAGTTGTCGTTAACGCACATATGGGCCTATCGGCCAAAATCGGTCCCCGGAAGTCGTAAAATTGCAAAACTAGTCTGCAGCATAGAGAAAGTAGAGTTTCTCGGACAAGCCTTCAGTTCTTCTTGTAATGGTGAATCTTGATAAACCAATGTTTGAAATTATATTGATTTTATCAGGAGATGCTATTGCTGCAATCGCAGTCAGATATTCTTTTATCATCTCTCCATCCGCAAAGGGTTTAATTTTTTGGCCAGTATTTAATTAACATCAAAACTAGCCTTTACTGCCGTTTTTGCTAATATGGCTTGATTTTTAAAAACTATCTGCTTGTTTTCTTAAGTTTTTCTCCATTTTGATTAAAGTCATCCATCCGAAGTTGTCCTCTTAAGTTTTTTATTGTTCATGTTTTGTATCGTTTGGCCTTTTCATGTTATTTTCTTTTAATGTCGACACAGTCTCTGAGCATATTAAGGATACAGCTTTATCTTTAATGAAAGAGAAAAATTATAAAATTTTCACTTTTCCTGAAAATGCCCGCAACCTTCCTTTTTTTTGTTTGCTTTTCCGACATGTTGTTATGGATTAAAAATTTGAAAGTTAAAAAAATTCGTAAGAAAACTTCATTTTAAATTTAAAAAATGGTTAGTTAAAAGCTTAGCAGTCTGACTGATTGAAAAAGCCTGTTGCAGAGTTTAAATACTTTTTTTAGACGTTGTAGAGACTTCTCTGAGAGTTTATGTTACTCGTAAAGTTAGACTGCTTTGAACAATAAAGAAAAAGTTGATTACTTACTGAAGGGCAAATTGTTTAAACGTTAACTTGAAAATCAAGAATTTTTCGAGAAAAACGTTAGAACCGCCGTTTTTTTGTTTTTTGAGTACACAAGCGGACCGGTTTTAATTTCGTTTGTCTCATCTTGTATTTTCCATACTTGCAAAAAGTATAAAACTTTTTTCATTTGCATTAACGGTGTAAAAGTTATGCTCAAAAAGCTTGTTCGCACTTTTTTTGATCATTTAAAGTTTAAATCATGTTCAACAGTTGGAAATCGCGCACAAACTATTGTCCCAATAATGTGACATCCTTTCGAACAACTTCCTTCAACTTCGAACAAAATCTTATACTTTCACCCATTCTGTGCGCGCTTGCAACCCTTTTTAACCCAATATTTGCGGTCGGTTGTCGTTTACGCTGAAGTGTATTTCGCTGGAGTGGACTGTATCTATTTTCTTAGAACACTTGCAAGTTTCTTCACAGGATTGGAATAAAACGTTACAAGGACAGTAAACTAAACTTTATGGTTCTAGAACTTTCGAATGAGTGCGCTCTTACGGATTCAGGCTTCAGATCCGCCAGAAGAGTAGTGGTTAAGGGCCGTCTGACGGATTTACAAAGTAAAGCCTGAACCACGTAACAAAGGCGTTTTGGATAAGGATGGGCGCAAACATGCCCCCGGCCTTGAAAACACAAGATTTCAAAACAAATTTGAACATACAGAGATAACGAAAGATATACAGGTACATAAAGAAATATGATTTTTACAC